TAATATAAAAAAATTATAAAGATTGGTTAAAATTTGAATGATTTTTATTAGAAGCAATTATTAATTTTTATATTGAGGTACAAATCTTTTTGCACTGACCCATATTTATAATTTATATATTATTAGATTAAGTATAATTAGTTTTCTAATAATATAATATAATTTTTTTAACTATATTCAATTATGTATTTTAAAATTATTAATTTATTTATATTTTATATAGTTAAATCTCTTATTATTATATCTTTTTATAGTTATCTTTTTTAAATATTTTAGTTATTAATTAATTATAATTAAAAAAATCATATTTTTTTTAATTATCCTATTTACTTTTCCAAATAAAGAGATCTGACTATGCTTTTTTATTTTATATATATATATTATTCTATTTTATAAATTGAAACTATTTATTTTGTAACTTATTTTATTTATAATTATAAATAAATAATTTTATAAAAATATATTAATAAAAAAACTAGTCTATTAATCAGCTTACTAAAAATATAATTATAATAGAAGTATAATTTCTAAAATTTTATAATTAAGAAATAAATAATAATTTATATAACTGATAGAATAGATAAGTAAAGTTTATATAATTAAAAACTATTTATATTTAAAGATTTTTTTTGAAAAATAAATATTAATAGATAAATTATTATAATTTCAAATAAAAAAATTCATAAAATTATTTAATATCTTGAAAATTGATTTGAAAATAAGTTATGATTACTTAATAAGTTTAAAAAACTAATATAATATTTGATAATTTAGAATTTATAATAAGTTAATAAATAAATTTATAAAAAAATTTTTAAATAAAGTTAAATATTAGTTAATTACTCTTATAATATAGACTTAAAAATATTTATAATACTAATAAAGCTACTTTCTTTTTTTAAATAATTTTTAATTAGAAACTTATAATAAAATTAGTTAAAAAAAAATAAAAATTAAATAAATATTAAGATTTATATAAATATAATTAATATAAATAAATTTAAATTACTTATTATTAAAAAATTAATAAATTTCTAATATTTTAAGAATATTTAAAAGAAGATTCTCAGTATTAAATATAAAGCTAATAAGAAAATATAAATAATTAAATATTAAATTAAGTTTTTAAATATATTAATAGATTTAATCATAAGAAAATTCTGATAATATTATTTTTTATTTAGTTAGTAAGAAATTATTATATCTTAAACTTTATTTTTTATTTTTTAAAATTATATCAAATTAATAAATTAATTTAAAGCTTATTATTAAAAGCTTTATTTTTAATATATTTTGAAAATTATAAATATTAAAAAATAATTATTTTATCTTAATTTTACAAAAATATAAAGAAATATAATTCTCAAAATAATTATTAATTGCTAATAAAAAACTAAAATACTATTATTAATTAAGTAAAATTAATCAAATTCAAATATACAAAATAATAAAATATAAGAAATTAATATTAAATAACTTATTTTTAATATTTTTAATTATAATAATAGTTAATAATTATATTTATATGAATAATATTATTCAAATAAAGAAAATTATTATAGATAAAGAATTTATTATAAAAGAAATTATTTAATTATTAATTTTAATTATAATAATAATAAAATTAAGATTAAAAGAATTTATTATTTTAGAGTAATATAAATTATTTTTATAATATATTAAGTAATAAGATCTTAAAAATTTATAAAGAAATAAAATTTATCAAGATTATAAAGTCTATTATATTTAAACAAATATATTTCAGATAAATAATAAAAAAAAATAATAGATTTTTTTTATAAAAATAGTATAAATTAATTTAAGAATTTAAAAAAAGCTTTTAATAAATAAAGTAAGAATTAAATAAACTTAATTTGAAGTTTAAAAAAAAAGCTTTTGATAAGAATTAGAAAAATAAAAATAGAGTTAGATAAATAATAATATAATTATATATAAGCTTAAAAATTCTAAAAAAATCTTAAAATAAAAAGTAAGATAAATTCTAAAATTCTTAAAATAAACTTTAAGATACTTTTTAAATAAATTATAATAAACTAATATATATAATATATTAATTTTATATTATATATAGTTTATCAAATCTTAATCTAATTTTAACTTTAAATTTTATTATTATTTATTCTTAAATATATTAATCAAATTATTCAGTTCTGTAAGATTGATATTAAAGAGATTAAACTATATAATTTTTATAATATTAATATAAATTTTATTAATTTTATAATACTAAATTTATAAAATTTGAAAATTAATCTTAATTTAATTTAAATTAAATCTTTGATTTAAATTGAAAAGATAAATAATATATAATATTAGATATATATTATAATATTTATATTCTTATTATTAAAAATAATATATTCAAGAATTATACTAGTCGAAAGAATCTTATAATTAATATAATTAATTATATCTCAAATATAAATTAAGATTTTAAAAATTTTTTATTATTATAAGAATTTTTTAAAATAAATTAAAAAAGCTAAATTTAACTTAAATTTAATTCAATTTGAATTTGAATTTAAATCAAATTTAAATTTAATATTTTAAATTTGAATTTGATTTAAATTTAAACTTAAACTTAAATTATAAAAATTTTTAAATTTATACTTAAACTTAAATAAAATTTGAATCAGAATTAATTTTAAATAAAGTAATAAAATTATAATTTTATAAAAGATTTATACTATATTTTATTTATAAATATAAAAATATTTATAAAAATAATCAAAAATAATATATTAGAAGTAAATTTTATTGATAAAATATAGTAAAAATTATAATTTTCTCTTTATATTAAAAATTTATAATTTTATTAAGAAATAATTTTTGTTTTTATATCAAAATAAACTTTATCAATTGAAGTTTAATATATATATTTTTTTTAGATTTTTAGATTTTTTTTGAAAGAGTTATTCTAATTGTAAAGTTAATGCAAATTTTTATTAATTAAATATTATTTTTGCAATTAGAATAACTCATTTAAGAAAATTTAAAAAATCTGAAAAAATATATGTTAAATTACAACTAATAAACTTTATTTTTATATAAAAATAAAAATTATTTCTTAATAAAATTATAAATTTTAATATAAAGAGAAAATTTTTATTTTTATTATATTTTATTAATAAATTTAGTTCCTAATATATTACTTTTGATCATTACTATATTATTAATATTTTATTTTAATAAATTAGAACTTAAATAATTTAAATAATTTAGTTTATTATTATAACTAAAATATATTTTATAAATAGCAATATTTATTATAAATTATTTGATAAAAATTACAGCTCAAAATAAAATTATAATTTTTTTCATAAATTTAAAATATATTTATTATTAAAATTTTGAGATAAAACTAAAATATTTTATTCAAATAATTATAATTTATTATTAAAATAAAAATATATTTTTTAATAATAATATTTTATAATAGATAATTATAGTAAAATTTATAATTCTTAGAATTATAATAATAATATTTAAAAAATTTAATTTTTAAATAAAAAATAATTTACTCTAAGAATTTGCTATTTATTATTACTAGTAGAATTATTAATAAAATAATATAAGTTAAATTAAAATATTATAACTTACTATAATCTTGTTATAAGTACATAAAATTTAGTAAAAATATATTATAAAGTCAAAAGTAAATAGATTTTATTTTAATTTTATAGCTTCTATAATTTGTTTTTGATAATAAAACAAATATTCATGATAAGTCTAGAAATTATATAGTGGATTGTATTCTTTTTTAATGAATCCATCTGTTTTTCACACAAAATTTTTTATATTATTATATTAATAAGCGATATACCAATCACAGTCATTTTATGCTCAATATTTTTCAGGATTTTAGAAAATGAGATACTTTGCTTCTGAAAGATTAATACATCTTAAATATTGTACTGAATTTTAAACGTTAAAGGTTGATGCATATTTGCACAGACATTGATTGTTCGATCTGCACGTTTCAGCGTTGAGCCTCGATCAGTCACGGCACGACACAGGGTGGTGTACATTTTCGGTTTGTATCCTTGTTTGTATTTTAGTTTTCATATTTCATATACATTTTCACATAAACTCTTCTTATTCTTATTCATAATAAAACTTTTTGAATTATTATGATGGAATATTTGTTAGCCAATTGACTATTATCTGATTGCAAGATGCTCGCATTTCTAACAGAAAACATGTATGGCAAGTTAAACCTTTCTATTATCATTTGCCATAATATCATCAAATTGAAACTTCCAACTATCCTCTTATATAATTCTAATAATCATGGATCAACATATAATAAATTTGCAAGCTTTCTGAAGATAAACTTTTATGCTTAAGTATTTCGTTTATATGCCTTATTCTGCTATATGATGCTTTTTCGTTCACACATTTCATCTTTTTCTCGGTATTATAAAGCAGATTCAGTAAAACATATCACAATTTCCTTAAACCTATTGATCGTTCTACGAATTTAACAGAGCATCATTTTTCCTTTTCAACAAAGTTTCTTCATTTTTTGATTTTTATCATTGAGAATCGTTTTCAATGTCGTACTATAATCAAACCTCGTTAAACCGAAATATTAATCATTACCCGATAAACCGAAGTAGTTCCAGGAACAGTCGTTGTAAAATTTCCATCGATAAACCGAATAAAGCTTGGTAAATTGAATGTTCAAAGTTTTTACTAATAACATCGATCATTTCGGTTTATCTTTATGGAGATTTGACTGCAGCTTTACATTGCTTTTACATTATTAAAATAAAATACACATTAAGTTGATATTATATGAAGATAGATTGTTTTTAATGGTGATTGGTTATTTATTACGAGTAAATAAAAGTGTAAGATTAATAAGAGAAATTAAAGTATGATAACTTTAATTAAGTAAAAATTTGTCACCATTTTACATAACAATAATAAATAATAACATTCTTTCTTTTTACTAATTTATTTCAAATTAACTGCTTGAGCTAACGTGATAATGCGTTATTACATGAGTCTAGCGAATCGAATCTAGCGAATAAGCTAACGAATGCGTTTTCGATGAAATTAAAGTTTTATATTATAAATGTTGGTCCCTGTCTATCTGTTTAAAGTAATTTTTATGCTGGCTTTGCTGCAGTATTTTTTAGTTCAGTTTTAAAATTGCTAATTCTGCCTATAAAATAGGAGTTCTCCTTTGTAATACTATCTTGACAACGATAAAATAAAATTAAATTAAATTTTGAATATGCGTTTATAACGTTCTTGTGGCCTACGTCGATCTTAAATTCCGTTAGTTCCAGAGCAATACATAACGATAACAATTTCGTACAGCAATTTTCATAGAGAGAAGTTAAATTTATTAATAAATATCTAGATAAGAAAACATTATGAAAAATTAAATCTGACACTTAAAATCTTATAATGTAATGTTAATAATTTTTCTATGTTAACAATAATCTCTTTCAAGGAAGATATAAATAAATTATTAACAAGAAATTTATTAGAACCAGTTTAAAATAATGTGTGTGTGTGTGCTTTGTTATATTTTTTGTTATTAGCCATGATGCTTTTTGTGTATCGTGGCGAGAAGATAGAGCGAAATAGGATATCGTACAAAGAGGTGGTTCCCAATGTACCGTAAATAATGTGTGCTTTGCGATAATGTGGCCATGAAGCTTTTGCTTGTGCTCGGCCTACAAGGACTACATGTTGATGATAAAAAAATTTTTCTTGATAAAACGCCTTATTTTATATGGTTACACTACTTTTAGAAGATATGCGATTAAAGAATTTGAGCGTAACTCAGAAGGTAGGGAGCTTAGACTAAATGGTTTACGAGAAGGGGGGAGGGTTCTCTACTGTTCTAAAGGTTTTCCTACGTTAGTGTTTACGAAAACTACAGTAATTTGGTTTAATGCATAAAACGATATAGCACAAAGCAAATTCAATGGTAGGACTCATCCAATGCTAACAAACAAGAAATACTAAAGCTATGGTTTATTTAGAATGGAGTTCTTCCACTATCGATTTATGTTAGGCACAAAAGAAATAAAGGCCACTTGTACGCAAGGTTTGAAGATAATCAAATAGAAGAAAACAGTTTATTTTACGAGTAAAAAGGATTATTACTGGTAAGGAATTTATTTTCAATTTATTTGATTAGAGCATATCATTATCTAGAGGTCAATACCTGATCTTTTTATACAAATATCAATGCTATATCTATATTATTTATGTCAGAACTTCTCACAACAATAAGCAAATAGACAATATGATCGGGAATAACAAAGAGGTAATAATGAAAAATGAGGATACGAAGTTTGAGAAACTCTCTTAAGAGATTAGCCAAACAACGAAATTTGAATAAACAAAAATTGTTAAGGAGCACAGTTAAACTAACGAAACTGTGTTGGACATTAGTCCAAAAATTATTATAGACTACAAATTTCTATGTTATTTCAGATGTCACATGTTAATTGTTGGTCATAAATTTATTACAATCGTTAACGGGTCGTGTAATTATTCTGATAACAATGGTCACAAGTAGATAGTTGCGATAACTACAGTTACTTGGTGCCAGATACTACGAGGCGTGAGACATTATTTGTCGTGAAAGTTGTTATTGTTAGATTTTGGATTGTCTTCAATGATGTGCCAATATTCCAAATGTAGTCACAATTCCCATATATGGAGGAAATAACGGTTACTTCGGGGTAACAATAGTGTTACAAATTCTTTCATTGTGTTTTTACTATTCTTGGAAATTTTTCAAATATGAGATAATATCGATAATTACAAATTATCTATTCAGGAAACCATACCCTTTGCTTTTTCATTTGTATTATAGCAAACTTTTTAAACAATTAATGAAAAAAAGTAATTGTCTTCCTTTTCTTAATTTGTGAGTTATCTTCATGAAATTTTTATTTATATATAGCAAATTATAAATGATCTTGGAAAAACAAGAATTTTCGTTGTTATTCCTAATACAATACATGAACATACATGTATTATATGTACTATGGCAATTGTCGTAGAAATATTGTTCGAGAATATTTAAAATCGTTTAATTATAATATTTTAGAACAAAAATTGTTTCAACTGCATATACATTACAGTCGCCGCAAAAAGTAACGCCTGATTTTTTTAAAGAATAAAACTTCGAATTTATTTTATTTCTGTCTTATGAACATAAAATTATTTTTTTACCATTAGCTAATGCATTATCAGCTCTTCATATGGCTCTTTGATTTCTCAAGACATTGAGCCTACAACCTTCTCAAAGCCAACACGTTGAATTTCATTCAGAGCAGTCTTGAGCTTTTTCGCGATCCTTGGAAAGCTTTTGTACTTTTGAACATTGTTCCCCAATGACTTGCAGACATTTCTATAAAGTCAGAGTTGAGATAACACAATATTCATTGATTTTATCTATTTGATTCTATTCATGGCTTCTTTCCCTAATGTAGATCAAGTTTTATTTTTTTAAACATCATGTTCTCTCAAATCAATGAACAAAAAAGGGATCAAATTATCTTAGAGAATCTTCAAATAAGCTTTTTTTATTATCAATATTGTGAAATGGCTCAGAATGTCTTTTTTGGCTGCTTGTAAATTTACACTGTCGTAATCACTGTATACTATGCATAAAATATGCGTCTAGAGACTAAAGTTCCAACTACATGTACAGTCGCCACAAAAAGTAACGCCCGCTTTGCATGTGTAACAACATAGGTAAATATATGCGTCGCGTTTCCTATGTATAAAATTCGAAGCACATCATCTATCTACGAAGTGTGTTCTCAGCCTAAACTCTAAGAGTTCTTCAAATAATCTCAATTATTTTATAAAGTTTATAAGTGGCATCAGAAAAAAGTAAGCAAATTATTTTAGCTTTTACTGACGACTTCCCATTTTAAATTTTTGAATTTTAAAGTTTATTGCAAAAAAATGTAAATTATTCTACTATTTGGACCCTTAGACAAAGCCTTATTGTTATATTTTCCTAAACGGATTCATAAGAGAATTTGACGGTTATAAAATTATATTCTCACGCTCATTTAAGAATTATCGGCTTAATACAATGGTTCATGCGTGCACAACATGCCGTGCCATAAACATTGATACACCGCCGCATGTTAGGCTACGCGTGCTATTGAGCACGGGGTTAGTGAAATTAGTAATATGCAATCGGATGCAGCGATGCATCAAGCCATGATTGATGCATCGTTGGCGAGGGATGATCTGACATAGAGTGCACCATAAATCCCGAATATATTGAAGGTGTATCAATAGGGTGCCAACTAATGATCAAAACAAAAATGATTCATTAGTCTTGACGTCGCGATAAAAGTGGGATTGCGGCGAGAAAAGTGTGAGAAATTCAACTATAAATAGAGAAGACTTTAGAGTAGAAGAAGCATTAGAATTGGTTCAATAGAACTATAGAGTAAATAAATAATTTAACATTTTGAAACGAAACTTTAAATAAAATAAAAGTTTATTAATTTTAAATAAATAAACATACACTCTTTCACAATAAAATTATTATTGATCTGTCCCAAACCTTCTGATTAATGAGTAACCTCCCAAAACGTTACTAAAAATAACAACGAAACCACAACATTGCGACCAATGAATTATCTTCTTAGGTAGAAAATAACGACACCATTGAAGAGAAGGTCAGAGTAGCGATTGACACAATAACGAATTAATTAACGTAAAAGCGCGGAAACTAACTAGTGATCGTACAGACTCACAGTTTACTCGGCAGATTCCCTCATCTGATTCACCGGGTAATAATTTTTGGTCCGGCAAGCCAGATAATCGTTAATCAGAAAGCCAGAAGAGAGAAGGAGAGATTAATAATAAGAATAATTAAAAGAATATTTTATAATTTATAATTACCTGAGAGCATCCGAGAAACTAACGCTTTTGCTCGGGAGATTGTTAAGAAAGACTTATACCTAATGTCGATTTCATGAAATCAAACACCCATGGATCAGATTTTGATTCAGAACAATGAAAATGA